GTTTCGTAAGACTCGATTCTGGGCATGGGCAACCCTATCGGGGGAAGATCAGCAAGGTTACACTGCACACCAATCTCCTGTTGCTCAATAGATGTTTGGTCACCTGGAAACGCAGAATCATTTAGATATTCAGTGTCATTATTTTATAAGTGGCCTATAGATAGCTTCTGTCATGAAACGCATTTCAGTAACAATTATGATTACTTACCCCTACTTCTTCTTTCAGGTCTCCTAAAACGTTTTTGCGTGGCCTTGTTTGCTGTTAACGGGAATAGTCTTTTGTTTTCCGATTCCACAGAGCTTGACAGGCTGAGAGGATCAGCTGATTGCAGCGTATCATCACTGCCAACGCTCTCTGCTCTTTGACTTTTACTCTCATGTGTAAACTCGATCTGTTTCATGGTCTACGACAAGGGCGAAAAACCAAAATCATAATTTCAAGGACTTTTTTCATTTTTAACTTATTACAGGAATTGGAATGGCTATTCAAAATCACAAAATTACTTCTATATGAAACTTACCCGCTGGGCGCTAAGTTTAGTGAGAGCATTTCCCCTTCTTGAAGTTCGCGGCGTACCTTCGGTGTCTTTCGAAGTAACAGGCGATGGCGTACTGAGAGAAATTTTTCGAGCCTTCTGAAGTTGCTTGGGGGTCGGGTTTGGCTGAATCGACGGAACAGCTCCTTTTTTTAAAACAAGTTTGCTAGAAAAGCCTGCCAGTTTCGCCCCATAACTCTCATAATCGCTTTGCAAGAAGTGATCACTGCAGACGTGACCCGTTCCTGGTGACCACCCTTTTCCGTCCCGCTTCATCAGAACGAACTTATTCCATTTCTGGCATAAGATAGCATCCTCGGAAATTGGTGCAAGCTCACACCTTCTTCATTGGTTTTGTCGCAAAACATGACAACACAACGTTTGCCAGGTTTGAGTTTACGCTTCTGACCTACTACAGGGTTCAATGAGGTCGCCATTTTACTACTACTTAACAGCAAGAATTTGTGTCTTAAAATGACCAACAAGACAAACAACTTTCGTATTGGGCAAGTTTTATTTGTACGCTTTCGCAACATATATTCGAAGCATAGATATTAAGCAATACTTCTTATCTTTCCCCGATTCTACTGCAGCATTATGTACCTAAATTTTATCGCTTTGGATCCACTYACACRCGTGTGACGTCACCAAGTGCGTGACTTATTTTCAGCTTGTTTTCAGTCACGAAAGAAAATATTGCTCTTTAATTGAAAATCGCTTGGAAAAAAACTTTTCAGTTAGTTTTTTCTGCTTCCAGATTGCTATTCTTGGGATAAAGTGTCGGTAATAATTGTCAAAAATGGGTAAAAAATTGCCGGGACGGGCCCTTTAATTGTTTTTTTTTCCAAATTTATATCAATCTTATGTATCATCATCAATTTCAAATCATTATCTTCTTATGATGGCATGAAAATGCCGAAACATGTTCAGATTAAAACTGTTTTGGTATTTTTAAAAATTACAAAGAAGAAATAACAAGTGTTATTCATCACTTTATAATATTCTAGTATCCAAATATCAGAGTTCATAGGTTAAGTTTTCATGATATTGTTGAAGTATAATTGAACATGTTATTCCGTGGCCTGGTTTATCTTTTTAATTTCGGGTACCCCCTTCAGAGCTTTCTTTTCTTTTGTTCTCTTCTTTTTTTTTTTTTCTTTTCTTTTTCTTTCCAGT